GGGGCTCGGTTGGGTGCACTTGGCCGTGGAGGGGCTGAGGTGCAGAGGGGGAGCACGTCCCGTCCCGCCGCCCGCTGTTTGTGCCGCTAGGGTCAACACCAAAGTCCAGAGCAGCATCAGCCAGTGGCTTTTCAAAAGTCGTTAACTTTTCCTTCGGTGAGTCAGCCTGCTTAGGCTTTAAAATCAGGTCCTCTGTGCGTTTCTGGAACGTCCTACTTCAGTTGACCAACGTCTGTTGCTCCTTGATGTCTCCGAAGAAGGGAGCGTGATGGAAAGCTTGGGAAAGAGAACAACCAGCCTCAGAAGACTAGGCGGCTAGTTCAAGTTTACAAAAACATCCTCTTACGTGGGTGATGTGGAGGCAAAGGAATACGGAGGCGATAAGCCCACCGGCTGCGTCCTGTCACTTTCCTGTCGCTGCAGAGAGGGATTTAAGGGCAAACGGGATAGTGGGTGAATGAACTAACAGTTGCTGAGCTACAAGTTACAAGCACTTTCTGTACGCCTTTCAGAATAAACGGGGCTCCAGAGCTCTCATGGGCTCTATGAGATCAATTAATGTAAATAGCACTGGCAGAATTTGGCTCCCTGTTGCTGATATACACCAATTTCAGTGAAAGCAGAGTAAGCCCCCACTGTGTTTGCTTAGAGGATATTAGAGTATATGATTACTATCGGCTGGTTTATTTATTGCCCAATTGAGCTGCATGAAGAATGCTCCAGAAGGTATGTGCAAGCTGCCCACCGAGTGTGAGCCATTGGCCTTGAAGTCCCATCTGCAGCACTGTCTTCCACACTCCAGTCTGTGATTGGAAAGTGTTTTTTCTCTTTAAATGCCAGGTTTTCACAACATAATTAAATGCCAGCTTCCAGACTCTGCAAACTTTCCTACAGTGTATGCTTTTTACAGGGTAATTGGCAATTTGTTTACTCCAGTGTTGTTTCCGTTTTTCCTATCTGGTAATGTGTGCACAAGTCACTGGAGAGTAACGCTATTGGTCACACAGCCAAGTGGCTGAGCTGAGTTTAATGCCTCTGACCCTTCAGTTTAAATCAACAGCTACCTGCATCTTGAACTTGAAGGCAGCAGGTCTCGCGCTTCTGTGACACCAAGCTTTTATAAAAGAAAACAACCCAGCAAACTGAGCTCAGGCTTAACTTCTGCTCTTCATTAAATCTTAGAATGCTCTACCTTAGCTCTACCTGCACACACATCAGTAAGGCAGGAACATCTCTACAGGCAATTGGGAAGTGTTGTTACGAGGGAAGGAAGACCCCAGGGCGGCACAGTGGGATTTGGAGTGGTGAAAGACAGTAGAGCTCATACATGGGCTGGACTGTGAAACAGCTTTTCCCACCTGTCCGTAGATACGTTACTGCATCTTGAGTTCGTGTGGCATTTAGTTTCTGCACCACAAACCCCTGAAGCAGCTGGTGGTGTTGCCTGGTTGTCAGCTCTAAAACCAAATCAAGGAATGCAGTCTCCCTGGCCTTCAGGGAAAGTCATTCTGATCAAGACTGGAGTCTTCAGCAG